GCTAATGTTTCCAAAACTATATTGAACAGCAGTGATGATAGTTGATATCCTTGTCTTGTTCTTGATTTTAGTGTGAAGGATTTCAGTTTTTGACCATTTAGTATATATTCGCTGTTGGTTTTTCATAGATAGCTTTTATCAGAATCAGGTAGAGACCATCTGTTCCAAATTTTTGGAGGGTTTTTATCATACATGTGTGTTGGATTTTCTCAAGTGCCTTTGCTGCATCTACTGAGATATCTGATATATGATTTTTGTCCTTGGCTCTATTAATATAGTGTATTAAATTTATTGAACCATCCCTGCATCTCTGCAGTGATTCCCACTTGGTCAGGGTATATGATTTTCTTGATGATCTCCTGCATTCTATTTGTATTTTATTAAGGATTTTTGCATCTATGTTCAGTAGTGAAATTGGCCTATAGTTCTGTTTTTTGGCTGGGTCTTTCTCTGTTTTGGGGATCAAGGTGATGCTTCCTTCCAGAAACGAATTAGAGAGTATTGTTTCCCTTTCAATTTCACTGGAGTTTAAACAAAAGTGGCAGGAGTTCCTCTCTAAATGTCTCATAGAATTCAGCAGTGAAGCCATCAAGAACCGGACTTTTCTTCATAAGTTTTTAATTATGTTTTCAATTTCCTTAATTGATATTGGGTTATTTAGAATTTTTAGGTCACCTTCATTCAACTTTGGTAATTCATACATATCTAGGAATCTGTCCATTTCTTCTTTATTTTCCACCTTATTGGCATATAGGTTCTTCAAGATGATCCGTTGGATTTCTGCTGGGTCCACTGTAATTCCACCCTTTTCATTCCTAACTGCATGGATTTGGGCCCTTCCATGTTTTGATAAGGTTGGCTAAGGGTTTGTTAATTTTGTTTATTCTTTTCAAAGAACCAACTCTTGGCTTCAGTGATTTTTTTGAATTGTTCTTTTAGTCTCTATTGCATTAATTTCTGCACTGATCTTTATAATTTCTTCACTTGTATGAGCTCTGGGTTTGTCCTGTTCTTCTTTTTCTAGAAGCTTGAGATTCAGCATCAGGTTGTGTAATTGAGATTACTCTTTTTTCCTAATAGGAGTATTCACTGCTATGAATTTCCCTCGTGAGACTGTTTTCATTGTGTCCCACAGAATCTGATATTTCTACTGGCATTGTCATTTAATTGTAGGAACTGTCTGATTTCTTTAATTTCCTCTGTGACCCATTGGTTATTCAGAAGTGTGTAGTTCAATTTCCATGTGTTTATGAAATTCTTGCTGTTACTCTGGCCATTGATCTCCAATTTTATCACACTGCAGTCTGATAATACAAGGGAATAAGGTCAATTCCTTTGCACTGACTTAAACATGTTCTATGAGTGAGTATGTAGTCTATTTTGGAGAAAGATCCATGTACAGCCAAAATGAGTATGTATTCTGATTTTGTGAGGTAGAACACTCTGTAAATACCTGCTAAGTTAATTTGTTCAAGAGTTTGATTGAGTTCTGATATGTCATTGTTTATTTTTGTCTTGGTGATCTATTTGTGACAATGGGATATTGAGGTTCCTCACTACTATTGTATTAGTGCCTATATGATTTTTCATGTCCATTAGTATTTCTTTTATATAGTTGGGCACACTTGTGTTTGGTGCATATATATTTATGATTATCATCTCTTCCTCTTGGAATGTTCACTTTACAATGATGTAGGGTCCTTGTCTCTCTTAATCAATCTTGGTTTGAAATCCACTGCAAAGAGGTTCCAGTCACAAACAGTATTACTTTACACTTTTTAACTTTCAGTCTATGAGTTTCTTTTGAATTAAGTATGTTTCTTGTATGCACCTTATTGTTGGATCTTGCTTTTTTTTTTTTTTTTTCTGAACTGGGGAATGAACTCTGGTCCTTGTGCTTGGAGAGTCAGGCAGCAAAACCACTGATTTAAATCCCTGGCCATGGATATTGCTTCTTGACCCACTCTGCCAGTCTATTTCTTTTGATTGGTGAATTGAGACCATTAACATTGATGGTTATAACTGATATGTATTGACTTATCCTTGTCATAACTTTTTCTTTGTGTTGGATTCTCCTCCTTTGCATTTAACTTCTTGTCATGCCTGACGGCTTCATTTTGCTGGGCTTCCTGAGGTTGTGATTCTCCATGTCTTTTCCTAGGATACTGTTTAAAATTTTCTGGAGTGCTGGTTTAGTATTCATTAAGTTCCTAAGGTGCTCTTTGTCATGAAAGTATCTTACTTCTCCATCATTTCTGAAAGATAGTTTCGCAGGGTACATCAATCTGGGTTGGAGGCTGTTTTCCTTTAGAGCTTGAAATAAGTCATTCCACATTCTTCTTACCTTGTGTGTTTGTTTTGCGAAGTGTTCTGTGATACTTTTGGGCTTTCCTTTGTATGTGATTTGTTTCTTTTCTGTAACTGCTTGTAGAATTTTGTTGTTCTGTTGCATTTCTGGAATCTTAACTATTATATGCCTATGTGTAGATTTTTTTTTCATGGCTAGTTGGAGTCCTGTAAGCCTCACTTATCTGTAGGTCAGGTTCTTTCCCCCTATTTGAGAAGTTTTCTGCAATTATTTCTAAGAACATTTTTTATATCATCTGTACTTTCTCGTTTCTTCATTGACTCCAGTCAGTCTTATGTTATTCTTCTTTGAACTGTCTAGCAGCTGTAGGATTAATCTCTCTTGCTCCCTTACTATTTTCTTTTCCTGGTCACTAATTGCAATCCTATCTTCTATATCTGAAATTCTGTCCTTGCATTGACTCATTCGGCTGTGTAAACTTTCAATGGTGTTTTTAATCTCCTGGAAATGTTTGGATCTGTTTTACGGATTCCATTTGTTTCCTGTATTGGGATTCCATCATGTTTCTCCACTCCTTTATTTTTTTAAATCTGTGTCTGCCATAGATTAATCCTGTCTTGTACTATGGGCACAATCTCTGCTGTTATCTGAGAAATTATTTCTGATTTCATTTTTTCCAGGTCCTCTTTCATTGCTAGTTCAGGTAGTCCAGGTGGTTAAGTATCACATTGTTGCATCTCATTTCCCTTTGGGGTTGCCTTAGATAATCTAGAAGTCTGGTTTTGAGACTTATTTTCATGCCTTCTCATTTCAACAGATACAGCCTGCTGTGCCTTTGTTGAGGCAACTTTTTGCTCACCCGGTGGTCTTTAATTTTCAGCAAGCCATGGAGCAGCCTTTACTCTGCTGCTCCCCAGTACACCAATTCCTGGGTTTAGAATGGTGGCCTTCTGGATCCCTGAGCTGACTTGTTGTCTGGGTGGGCTTCTGACTCCTGACCTGTTCTGGCTGGGGCTTGTGCACACTTGGGATGGTATCTAGGTGTGCCTCTCACTATAGTCCTTATGTAGTTACAGTCTAAGGGGCCTTTGGCTGGTTGCTATGTACCCCAGGTCCTGTTTTCTCTGTAGGCTTCTGGCTAGGGTTTCTAGGCACTTATCAATGGTATCAGGGCGAGCTTCTGGCTGTTGCTTATGCATCTGTGTATTTCTTTTCCAGATGGGCCCTTGGCTATGGCAGATGATATGGCAGGACTCTGGATGAAGCTTGCATACCTATGCAGATCTTTTCTAGGCGGGCTGTGGCTTGGGCACAAGTGCCTGCACCTCTGGGGGTGGGGCAGTGCCCGGGAGGGGACCTGCTTGTAGCCACACCACTCTGGTCCACACAGCTGCTCCCCAGGATATGTGTGTACTTATCTATGATATGGCAGAACTCTGAATCTTGTTTTTGTTGTGTCTTTCTCTGGTTTTATTATCAGGGTAATGCTACTCTAACATTAACATTTTATCTAACATTATTAATTCACATTTAATCTAACATTAGATGTGAAAATTTTTCCCAAGATAAAATGTTCTGAGTTGATATATTACTACTAAAGAATAATCACCCAATTATTTGTGTGGGTTAACTCCAATTATGAATTAAATTAATAAACTGTAAAATTTCAAGGACTGCTAAAAGTATGTTAAAAATATAAATTCACAGAAATCAAATATTTTATAAAGATACTTCGGGGCCAGGTATTTAGCTCAGTGGTTTTGCTGTCTGCCTTGCAAGCACAAGGTCCTGAGTTTGATCCCTGGTACCAAAAACAAAAAAAAGATATTTAACCTGAAAGTTACCTTAAACATTGTAAGAAGAACCACTGAACATTTTCTATATAACAAGACCTAGCCCTGTTTTATTAATATCAACATTTTTATGCACGAGATATCTTCAGCCAAAAGGGGTAGGAAATTCATTCAAGTTTATCATGCGAAAGAAAAAGGTCAAATGACCTGACTATACTCAGATATTAAGGCAGAATTAGGACAAACAGGATGTACAACATACCAAGCCTTATGGTTAAGTATTTTATGAGATATAATGTTGGGTTTCCTTTCCATTACATCCTTCAGTTAGAAACTCTTAAAAGTATGATGATTTATACATTTTCTCTTCAATAACCAAATAATTCATCACAGTTACTATACAATAATCCCTAAACATCCATACAGCATTTTTTCCTGGACTCTGCAAAATACTAACATAAGCTCAAGTCCCTTATGTAAAAGAGCACCATACTTGTAGATAAGCTATTCATACCCTTCTATACATTTTAAATCACCTCTTAGCTACTTATAGTACCTAATGAAATGTGAGTTCTCAAAAAGTTGTATTTGGGGACTAATCATAAAACAGTCTGTATATGTTCAGTACAAATGCAATTTTTAAAAGTATATCTGATCTGTAATTGGTTGAATTTACAAACGCAAGACCTGCAGATACAGAGGGTCAACAATGATTGATATACTCTATTTCTACATGTATTTGTGTATGAATCCATATTGTATACAATATTCATATGTACAAAAAGTATAAAAAGTAGTAAATACAAAGAGCCAAAATTTATATTCTAATATACACAAATCTGATTAAATTTTATGTCAATTATAGGAGATAGGAAATATTTTTAGAAAATGTCTCTCACCTGGACTGAGTGGTCTGAATCTTCTTCTTTAGGTAAAGGACAGGGTGCTTCTTGCAAATTCTGAAGTTTTTCTTTTAATTTTGCATTTTCTTGTTCTTTTTTAACTAGCTGATTTTGAAGATTAGCAACACTTTGCCGGAGCGTAGCTTCACTTGACTTTGTGGTTTCAAAACAAATATGTAACTCGTTGTAAAGCTATTTCAAAAAATCCAGATTACATTAAAATCAATAAGATAATGATGTGTATGTGCACAAAGAAACACACAATGACATGGAAACTGTATATAACAATGTACCCACCCTCGCACATTATTTAATAATCTAAGAGAAAAACAAGATATAGACACAAGGAGAATTAAATGCTAGAGCCAAATATCAATATAAAACCAACTTATGCCAAAAAGAATGAATATATTAATGCTGAGTGTGAGACAGTAAAAGAGTACTAAATTTCTAAAGATGAAAATATTTTGAACTAGCTATATTAATCTCAATGGGTTTGATGAGAAAGAAATAACTTGAACTGAGCCATGACAGTTATATAGGAATGGAAAGAAAGGTCATTCTAAAGAGAACAGAAATATGAAAAAATTCTGTATTTTGCTAAGAAAGAACATGAAGGACCAATAAGGTATGTCAGCCTAACTCAACTTAATTTGAAAATAAAAACAAGAACATTTCATTGGAAATTCATTAAGACTGACTGATATAAGTACGAAATATATAAACATGAAATAAGTATTTTGGTTCACAGTTTCAGAAGTTTCAGTTCTTGGTGAATTGATTATGTTGCTTTGGACCTGTGGCAAGGCCTGTGTCATACCAGAAGTGTGTGAAGAAAGAAAATTCATTTCATAGACGTCAGAAAACAAAACAACACAAAACAAAGAAACAGGAGGTGTCCGAGGTCCCAAGATCTACCTCAAAAGAATGCCCTTAATGATTTAGTTTCCTTCTATGGACCCCCTACCTCTTAAAGGACTGTCCACCTCCCAACAAAGTCACAGGCTGTCACCTTTATCACATAAAACTTTGGCAGATACTTTAGATTCAAATTATAGCACATATATATCTTAATTTCTCCACAATTTTATACTCAACAAAATCATTTGCCTGGTTAAAAAACGAAAAATAAGTGGATCAACAAGTGGATTAAAGATCTAAATATTAAAACAGAAACACTAAACTTGCTGGAAGATAAGTTAGGTAGAACTCTCAAAGACACTGGCTTAGGAAAAGACTTTATTAACAAATCCTTCACAGCATGAGAACTTGCACAAAGAATCAACAACTGGGATCTCATCTTATTAAAAACCTTCTGCACTGTAAGAGAAACCACCAACAGAGATAAGAGACAACCTACAATACAACATGGGAAAAAAATTTTTACCAGCTGCTCCTCAGACAAAGAACTACTATCTAGAATATATAAAGAACTCAAAAAAAGATCAGACCCCCCCAAATATAAAAACCCAATTCAAAAATGGGCATCAGAAATGAACAGACATTTCTCAGACAAAGAAGTAAAAGCAGCAAGTAAATATATGAAAAAATGTTCCACATCACTGGTCATTCGAGAGATGCAGATGAAAACAACACTGAGACTCCACCTCACCCCAGAAAGAATGGCTGCTATCAAGAAATCAAACTATAACAAATGCTGGTGGGGTTGTGGGGAGAACGGAACTCTTCTCCATTGTTGGTGGGAGTATAGACCGGTGCAACCACTATAGAAATCAATATGGAGATACCTCAAACAACTAGGATTAGAGGTTCCATTTGACCCAGCTATTCCTCTGCTGGGTATCTTTCCAAAAGAATTAAAAGAAGCATACCACAGCGATATATGCACACCCAAGTTTATAGTGGCAGTTTCTAAAAGCTAAAACTTGGAAACATCCCAATTGCCCATCAACTGAACACTAAAGAAGATGTGGTTTTTCTATAAAATGAAGTATTACTCAGCCATAAAGAATGAGAAACTAGAGTCATTTACAGGAAAATGGATGCATATTGAAGCCATATTCTTAAGTGAAATAAATGGGACACACACGTGTAAATACCAAATACTTTCTCTAATGTGAAAAACTAAAAGTATAAATAAGATCCAAACTGTATAACTGATAATGTGAAATAGGAAGAAAAAGGCTAAAGCTGTGGGGAAATGAGGGTGGGGGTAGGGGAAAGGAAATAAGGGAAAAGAAAAAATACGAGAAAAGGAAAAAATGGAAACAAAGTCTTTGTAAATAGGAAAGGGTGGAGGGGGTGAAGGGACGGTATGGGGAAAAATGAGAACCAGTATTTGTCATGTAAAAGTACAAGATCCCAATAATGAATGTAACTGCACTATATACTTAAAAAGTACCAATAAAGTCAATGGAAAAAATAATAAGTGTATCAGTATAACATTTAATTAATATAGAAATATCCCTGAAAGGTTTTTCAGATAGTCTTACAATTCAAGTAAGCAGCTAGGATTTTTAAAGCAGATTATTCAAAGCAGCATAGTATGCAACTCCTTCAAATTCAATAATTCAGCATATACTGATCATGTGGTGGTAGGCAGATTCCCTTCAAACTCCACAATCCTCTGTGCTCTGATTTAATACATTTTTTGGAGGGGTACCAGGGATCAAATTTGGGACCTTGTGGTTGCAAGGCAGGCGGCAGAAAAACTGAGCTAAATCCCCAGCCCTCTTATTTAATAATTTTAAAAAGTTTCACCTATATTTACAAACTAAGAGTGACTTACATACCATTAATATGATGTTATTAACTCTTCTTCCTTGGATAAGGTAGGCAGATTTTAGAGAGTGTGTGTGTGTGTGTCTGTGTGTGTGTTTTCAATGCACACTAACGAGTAGTAAAAGCCTGAACTAGTAACTAAAAGATGTTTACTGCAGCTTTATTTACAATAGGAAAAAAATAATATATTAAAAATGGTTCAATGCATCATATTGCTACTTCTAAAATAGTTATATGCCACTGTATAATGTAATGTTGAAGTGAAATATACTATTACCGTGCTCAAAGGTATTGATAAAATGTATTTCTAACTCTTCAAAGAAACACTCAAAATATTAACAATATTTGCCCTGGGATAGAATTATAAATGATGTTTTCCTTTGTTTTTATGGATATCATTTATACATAGACTACCAAAGAAAACAATTGTAATGTTGACTAATTGCAGGAAAACACATAAACAAGTAGTCAACAAAGCCCACTTTAAAAATGAACTGAAGATACTAAAGAAAACCTTACAACTACCTGTAAGGATCTAAACCAACTTCAAAATTAAAATACAACAATAGTAATTACAATTGCAGAATGACAATCAATTCAAATATTCCCTCTCCTCCATAGAAAAGTATGCCTGAAGAACACATAAAAGGAAAATAGAATTCAATCTTGAGGAAAAGAAGACCAAAAAGAAAAAAAGATTAAACAAAGGAAAAGTCAAGCACTGGATGTTTGTTCTTTCTTTGCTTTTCCTCAGCCTCAATACTATTCACAAGCACAATAATTTCTATCACTTATAATCCCTCACTGATGTCTAATAATTTGGAGGAAATATCACCAATACTACCTGAATGTACAGTAGGCATCTCACACTCACTGCTCAAAATAAGCTATTAGCCGAGTGTGGTGGCACACGCCTGTAATCCTAGCACTTGGGAGGCTGAGGCAGGAGGATCACTGTGAGTTCAAGACCAGCCTGGGCTACATAGTGAGTTCCAGGTCAGTCTCAACTACACAGTGAGACCCTGATTGAAAAACAAAACAAAACAAAAAAACCTACTGCCTGCTGTCTTCAACACATCCCCATTATCACTTCATCAAGGAGAACCCAACTTCTATTTTCTGTAGTACTGACACCCATGGTGTTCACACTGACCTACATCCGCAGACATTTTAAAAGTTTTTGTTTTAAGACAGGATCTCCTTAAGTCGCTAAATTGCCTAGAATGTGCTCTAAACAGAAAAGAGAAGAGATCCTAAGACATGTTAATACTAATAAGGCACAAGGACTAGCAAAAACTGCAAAGATACTAAAACGAACAGTTAGAAACTGAAGAAAATCATATAACTGCAGTGTACTCCAAGCCCAGGAAAGGGAAAAAAAATGTATTTCAAGAGATAGTCATTAACAGTGACAAATGTGGGGGGACAACTGAACTACTAATAAAGTGCAAATTTTTAAAGCATTTTTATCAGTGTAGTGAGGTTTAACACCCTAGTGGGACACCCAAAACAAAAGGTGAAGCTACTCTGAAGCGGAGAGGATACACTAACCTCCTGCTTGGTATCTCTGATACCCTTTGAGAAACATAAAGGGAAAACAGAATGTAGACTGAAAAATACTGTTCCTAAGCATCATTTTAAAACATGTGCTTAAAATTTACTTAATAATGTTATTTGTTTTGTTTTAATTATAGATATAGATTTACGTGGTACATTTTTAGGAGAATTAAAAGAAAAAAATCAAAATTATTGTACTACTTAACTTCTTTAAGACACACCAGCCTTAACTATTAAATGGGAATCAGGTGACTCTAATATGGATAGTCTATATATAAACTAAATTATGTAAATGACTTTGAATAGCACACAAAATACATATAGAACTTAACAAAGGTATTGTTTTTCTTTTTCTTTTTTTGTTCTTTTATTGAGTTTATTGGTACATTTTAGGGATACAGTACGATTACATTCATTATTGGGATCTTGTACCTTTACATGACAGGTCTTAGTTCTCATTTTTTCCACTTGTCCCTGGTCTCCCTTAACCTCCTCCTACCCTCCCCATTTACAAACACTTTATTTCCATTTTTTCATTTTGTCATATTTTTTTCTTTTCTCTTATTATCTTTTCCCTAAACTTCCCATTTTCCCTACACATTTAGCCCTTTTCTTGCTATTTCACATGGTCAATTATCTCATTAGGAACTTATGTACTTTTATAGTTTTTCACATCAGAGAAACTATTCAGTATTTACACATGTGTGACTTATTTATTTCACTTAGGAGTATATCCTCAATATGTATCCATTTTCCTGTGAATGAATCTAATTTCTCATTCTTTATGGCTGAGTAGTATTCCATTTTATAGAAAAACCACATCTTCTTTATCCAGTTTCCAACTGATGGGCAAATGGGCTGTTTCCAAGTTTTAGCTATTACAAACTGTGCCGCTATAAACATATATCACAGTGGTAAGATTCTTTTAATTCTTTTGGAAAGTTACCCAGCAGAGGGATGGCTGGGTCAAATGGAACCTCTAGTCCCAGCTCTTTGAGGTATATCCATATTGATTTCCATAGTGGTTGCACCATTCTGCACTCCCACCAACAATGGAGAAGGGTTCCTTTCTCCTCACAATCTGCCAACATTTGTTATTGGTTGATTTCTTGATAGCAGCCATTCTTTGGGGGGGTGAGGTGCAATCTCAGTGTTGTTTTCATCTGCATCTCGCAAATGACCAGTGATGTGGAACATTTTTTCATATATTTACTTGGTGCTTTTACTTCTTTGTCTGAGAAATGTCTGTTCATTTCAGATGACCATTTTTGAATCGAGTCTTTATATTTGGGGGGGTTGACTATTCTGAGTTCTTTATATATTCTAGATAAGAGTCCTTTATCTGAGGAGCAGCTGGTAAAAAGTTTTTTCTACAATATAGGTTGTCTCTTAGTTCTTTTGATGGTTTCTTTTGCAGTGCAGAAGCTTTTTAATAAGATGAGATCCCATTTGTTGATTCTTTCTGCTAGTTCCCGTTCAACATATGTAAGTCAATAAATATAATATACTATATTAACAAAGTCAAGGACAAGAACCACATGAGCCTCTTGATAGATGGATCTAGGAATCAATCTAACAAAAGAAACAAAAGACCTTACACTGAAAACTACAGCACTCTGAAAAAAGAGATCAAAGAGGATATAAGAAAATGAAAAGATATCCCCTGCTCCTGGGTAGGAAAAATCAACATAGTGAAAATGGCCATTCTACCAAAACTGCTATACAGATTCAATGCAATGCCGACTGAAATTCCAAAACTATATTTCACAGAACTAGAAAAAAGAATCCAAAAATTCATTTGGAACCATAAGAAACCTAGAATAGCAAACGCCATCCTAGGCAACAGACACATGGCAGCGGGTGTAACAATTCCCAATTTGAAACTATACTACAAAGCCACTGTGATAAAACAGCATGGTACTGGCAAAGAAACAGACCTGAGGATCAGCAGAACAGATTGGAACACACAAAAACAACTCCAGATGTACTCAGCTACCTCATCTTTGACAAAGGAGCTGCCAGTCCCCACTGAAGGAAAGATAGCCTCTTTAATAAATGGTGTTGGAAAAATTGGATCTCAACCTGCCAAAGATTAAAACTAGACCCTATCTTTCACCATGCACTAAATTAAAATCCACGTAGATTAAAGATCTAAATATTAAAACAGAAACACTAAACTTGGTGGAAGATAAGTTAGGCAGCACTCTTAAAGACATTGGCATAGGAAAAGACTATAAACAAAGGTATTTTTTGATTACAAGCTATAATTATTACTGCTGATTCAGTTAGCATAACTAAACAGCTTGATAAGCCTTCTTGAGGGGCTCTTAAAGTAAAATGACTACTGAAAAGAAACACCCAAAATAAGAAAAGAATCGTTGTAAAATATTGATCATAAATACCTCATTAGCATTCACCTTTGTGTTTGTGAAGATTTGTCAATAAAATAATGCACAATTTTTATAATGAAAGTCTGCTTGAGTTATTAAATTAGAATATTTGATCAAATACTTTCTCTTATTAAAGGCTGAGTAGTTAGTTCTACTCCTAAAATCCTTTCTAGTTCTAGGGTTACAAACCAAGAATGCTTTATAGCGCATACAAATATTCCAGTTTCTAAGAATAATAAGCTATGAGATAGATTTATATCTACATTTTAAATGATTCAGTTCTGATAACTATAAAGAAAACTCACAAAAACTTAGATATTCATTGTTAACTGGGAAGAAATACTGTACATGTAAAAGGGAATAATAAAGAAATGCTAAAATTCTACAAATTTGATTTCTCCATGTTTTCCTAAGTTTATACATATAAACCTATAATTCTACCACAAAATAAAAGCATACTTTTTGATACGATACACTTTCAGCTGTGTGAACATCTTCCTGATTTTTCAGAACTTTCTGTGCGTCCATATTGAGAGCCTGAAGCTGCTGGATCAGCTCTGCTTGCTGCACTGTGTGTGCACTGTTCTGTTTGTAAAGATTCTGCAGTTCCTGCAATTCTTTCCTGTGCAAAGCAAGAAATAAACAGAGAGTCGTATGAATAAAGACCATCTCAGTTAAATGACTGTGTTCCTCTAAGGCTATAGATCAGCTTCCTATTTTTCATCTATTTTTTTTACTGCAGAAAAACTTATTATTAAGAGAAATAATATAAATAATATAAAAATATTTAGTATTTATCACATACACCCAGAAAGTATTGATGGAACTATGACTTTCAATGGCAAATGCTTATCAATTTTCTTTTATAGCTTGATAGTAATAAAAGCCCTGGATATATATAGTCACGGTACCACCTTCCTACTGAAATTTAGTTAACACTTCATTTCCAAGGACTGGTAAGTACTGATGCCAACTACAGCTATGAGACAGTTTTGTACACAAGGTTAAGTCAATCCTTCTTATTGAAAGGAATCCCAAAAGGTAGATTAAGTTTTCAAACCAAAGCTCTCTAAAGCATTAGTGCCTAGTCTACTCTGTAAACTCAGAGGCCTAGGCTGGGGTTTTTCTGACCCCTCTAATCCAAATTGAAGATGATGAGTCAAAACAGTCAGAGTGGAGGAGGGCAGCACAAAGGAAAACTAGTACCTGCAAGGAACCCAGGGTACTGGTAAGCAAGAGGGGAAATGTTCATGGGACAGTAAGAGCGGCACTAAGGGTCAAGGAGAACCACATCTATGAGACAGAGGTCTCCAGATTCCTGTGAAAATGAATCCTGTTAACTGGGAATTATTTCATGTGCTCAATTGGAGGATTAAAATACTTAAGTATACCTTATAGTATTTTTATTTACCTGTAGCTTCAAATTGGTGATACATTTACATAAAATAAATCTTAAAGGAAAAAGGAACAAAAGAAATATTTGTAAAGTTCTCAAAAACGCTGAAAATTAATATGAGAGAAACAATCTCTGCTTTTTAAAGGTCTAGGATACCAACATTCTCCAACTATAACAACAACCCCTGCCTATATATATGTACATACATCATCCTTCTGTAACAATTCTAAAACAGAAACTTGTAGAAAATAACAATATTAATATAGGTAAGGATAAAGAAGAGAACCTATAATGACAAAATGTCTCCAGGAAATGCATTACAATCGGAAAGGAAAAGAGACCCATGTTAATAATGTATGCTGATTATTGCCATTTGGCACAAATAAAACTGAAAAACTTACCAAAGGATATAGGCAACAGCATGTCTACCAGAGGACAATCAAGACATACAGTGGTACCTTGGTTCACAAACTTAATTCTTTCCATGATTCAGGTGGCAAAATTTGTTCCAGTTGTAAGAATAACCATGTAACAAATTCTGTAACCAGAATCGTGGAAAAAACAAAGTACATAAACCAAAGTACCACTGTATGTCAGGAAGGAGACCTTAGGAAATATTGCATTTAGGAAAGGAACATGATGAAGGTAAAACATATCTTTAAATACAATGGACAACAATATCAAAAGATATGTTATTTCTTATTAAGAGGGCCAAATATATTAAGGATCATATTCTACAAAAATATGCACCTCTAGTAACAGAAATACATTCATGAATAGAAAGATGCTGATACTATTGTGAGGCATTTGAGGACTAAATATCAACTGAAGGAAGAGTACATTTTTATCTCCCATCTCATGCTATTTCCATGGCATATTTTCAATAAGTAAAATTGGAGCACAATCTCACATTATTATATATGTTTATTGTTCTCCATAAGCTGCCCTGTGAAACATAAATGAAATGCTGTGCACATAAATGCAACAAGTATGACAAAAGGAATTGGAATTAGTATCAAAGTAGGCAACAAGTCTCACAAAACTCAAATATCTGGGTCAACAGTAAACACTAAATATGTCTAGATCTCTCCTCATTTAAAAACAAATAAGGAAATATTCACTATGCTTACTTGGAGAAGTAGAAACTACTGAAAAAAAAAAAAGCTTACAAGAAGCACAAAAAGAAGCTAACAGCATTGTTTTCATTTGCATATCTCAAATGACCAGTAATGTAGAACTTTTTTCATATTTTTTTTGCTATTTCCACTTCTTTGTCTGAGAAGTATCTATTCATTTCAGATGCCCATTTCTGGATTGGGTCTTTAAATTTGGGAGGTATGATTTTTTTAAAAGTTCTTTATATATTTTAGATAGTAGACTTTTGTCTGAGGAACAGCTGGTGAAAAAATTTTCCCACATTGTGGGATGTATCTTCACAGTGTTAGTGATTTCTCTTAATGTGCAAAAGCTTTTTAGTAAGAAGAGATCCCACTTCTTCATTGTTTGTGCTAGTTCACCTGCAACTAAGGTTTTGTTCATAAAATCTTTTACTACACCATGTCTTTAAGAGTTCTGTTTAGACCCACCCCACCCCACCCCACCCCCAAGGCCTCCTAGCAGCACAGGACTTGTGAAGAGCTGAGCAAAGCAGAGCTGACCTTCTACCCCACCCCACCATCATCACCACCACCAACCCCACCCCCTGCAGGCCTCTGAGCAGCTACCAGAGCCATGCAAGTGTCTACAGCAACATCCCAGCACCACCATCATACCAGCACCACCACCACCCCCCGCCTGCTATAAAATAGCAAGGGTAAGCTATCTTATTTGCAGACAAAGTAAATTTCAAACCCAAACTAACTGGTTACTGCATCCTTGTAAGGGAACAATCCAAGAGGAAAAGAAGACAATCATAAGTATATATACACCAAATACTAATGCCCCTACTATACAAAACAAATATTAAGGGACATGAAAAAGCAAATAAGCACTAATACAATTGTAGTGGGGGAGCTCAATATACCACTGTCACAAACAGACAGTTCATTTAGACAAAAAAAAAAAAAATCAACAACAAAATAACAGAATTGAACCAAGTCTTAGAACAAACAGACTTAGTAAATATCTACAACGTGTTCCACCCCACAAAATCAGCATATACATTCTTTTCGGCTGCACATGGGTCATTCTCCAAAGCAGACCACATACTAGCTCATAGAACATTTTTTCCATAAATTTGAAAAGGAACCGAAGTTACCCCATGTATATTATCAGACCATAGGGCAATCAAACTGGACAACAATAGCATAAGAAACTTCAAGAACTTCACAAACACATGGAAATTAAATAACACTCTCCTGAACAACCAATGCATCACAGAGGAAATTAAAAAAGAAATCAGGCAATTTTTACAAATAAATGATAATGCCATCACAACATATAGGAATTTATGGGACACAATAAAAAAGGTTCTATGAGGAAAATTCATAGCAGTGAATGCCCATACTAGGAAAACAAAGCGAGCTCAAGTAAACAACCTAATGCTGAATCTCAAACTACTAGAAGAACAAGACAAACCCAAAGCTCATACAAGGGAGGAAATTATAAAGATCAGAGGAGAAACTAATGCAATGGAGACTAAGAGAATGATACAAAAAGTAACAAATTGAAGAGTTTTTAAAAAGAATAAATAAAATTGATAAACTCTTAGCCAACCTTATCAAAAAAAGGAAAGAAAAGGCTCAAATCCATACAATTAGCAACAAAAAATGTGAAGTCACAACAGATCCAGCAGAAATCCAGATGATCATCAATATCTACTTCAAGAACCTGTACTCTAATAAAATGGAAAACACAGAAGAAATGGACAGATTTCTAGATACATATGAATCATCAAAGTTGAATGAAAATATAAAAATTCTAAACACCCCAATTACAATCAGTGAAATTGAAAATGTAATTAAAAATTTACCTGCAAAGAAAATCCTAGGTCCTGATGGCTTCACTGCTGAATTCTACAAGACATTCAGAGAAGAACTATCACCACTACTCTTAAACTCTTCAATGAAATTGAAAGGGAAGCAATACTTCCAAATTCATTCCCAGAAGCAAGTGCTACTTTGATTCCAAAACCAGGGAAATACCCAACTAAAAATGAAAACTATAAGCCAATCTCCCTAATGAACGTAGATTCAAAAATCCTCAATAAGATAATGGCAAACAGAATACAGAGGGTCATCAAGAAGATCATATAACCTGACTAAGTCGGATTTATCCCAGGTATGCAAGGATGGTTCAACATACATAAATCAATAAATATAATACACTATATTAAGAGTCAAGGACAAAAACTATATGATCATCTCAATAGATGCAGAAAAAGCATTCAACAAAATTCAACATCTACTCATGATTAAAACCCTGCAGAAAATTAGAATAGATGGTCTTCATCTCAACTTGATAAAGGCTATCTATGAAAAACCAATAGCCTACATCATAGTAAATGGTCAAAAACAGAAAACCTTCACACTAAAGTCAGGAACAAGACAAGGATGTTCACTATCACCACTCCTGCTCAAAATAGTTCTGAAAATATCAGCCACAGCAATTAGATTAGAGAAAGAAATAAAAGAAATAAAATAGTAAAAGAAGAACTTATACTGTCATTATTTGCTGATAACATGTTATTCTACATAGAAGATCCAAGAAACACTGCCAAAAGATTTCTAGACTTAACTGACAGATTTACAAGGTAAACACTCAAAAATCAATAGCATTCTTTTACACAAATAACAGACTCACTGAGAGAGAGACTAGGGAAACAATCCCTTTCACATTAGCATCCAAAAAATGAAATATCTAGGGATCAATCTAATGAAGGAATCAAAAGACCTCTACAATAGGGGCCAGGGATTTAGGTCAGTGGTTCCATTGCCTGCCTCACAAACACAAGGACCAGAGTTCGATCTCCAATACCAAAAAAACAAAATAGACTTCTATATTGAGAACAACAACACTCTGAAAAAAGAGATCAGAGAGGATAGAAGAAAATGGAAACACATCCCATGCTCCTGTGTAGGAAGAACCAATAAAATGAAAGCAGCCATACTTCCAAAACTGCTATAGAAATTCAATGTAATCAGATTGAAATCCCAATAGAATATTTCACAGAGCTAGAGAAAATAATCCAAAAATTCATCTGGAACCAGAAGAGACCTAGAACAGCAAAAGCAATTTTAGGCAACATAGACATGGAGGGGGTATCACAATTCCTACCTTAAAGCTACACTACACAGCCACTGTGATAAAAATAGCATGGTAATGACAAAGAACAAACCCGAGGATCAGTGGAATAGATTAGAAGATGCAAACACAACTTCAGATATATTCAGCTACCTTATCTTTGACAAAGGAGCCAACTATCCTCACTGGAGGAAAGACAGACTCTTTAATAAATGGTTTTGGGGGTTATGGATTTAGCTCAGCGGTTCTGCTGCCTTTGCAAGCAAAAGTTTTCCAGTTTGATCCCTGGTACCAACAAACAAATAAATGGTTTTAGAGAAACTGGATATCAAATTACCAAAGATAAAAGTAGACCCCATATTTTACCATCCACTAAATTAAGTGAATTAAAGATCTAAATATTAAAACAGAAACACTAAACATGCTAGAAGATAAGTTAGGTAGACCTCTCAAAGACACTAGCTCAGGAAGACTTTATTAACAAATCCTCAGTAGCATGAGAACTATCACAAAGTAACAACAACTGGGATCTCATCTTATTAAAAAGATTCTGCACTGTAAAAGAAACCACCAACAGAGCTAAGAGACAACCTACAACATGGGAAAAAAAATTTTTACCAGCTGCTCCTCAAACAAAGGTCTACTATCTAGAATATATAAAGAACTCAAAGGGCTGGGGATTTAGCTCAGATGTTCCGTCGTGTGCCTTGCAAGCACAAGGACCCAAGTCCAATCCCCAGTACCAAAAAATAAAAAAAGAAAATAAAAAAAGAATTCAAAAAAATCAGACCCCCCAAAAATAAATACCCAATTCAAAAATGGGCATCTGAAATGAACAGACATTTCTCAGACAAAGAAGTAAAAGCAGCAAATATAAAAAAATGTTCACCATCACGGTTCATTCAAGAGATGCAGATGAAAACAACACTGAGATTCCGCCTCACCCCAGAAAGAATGGCTGCTATCAAGAAATCAACTAATAACAAACCCTGGTGGGGTTCTGGGGAGGAAGGAACTCTTCTTCATTGTTCGTGGGAGTGCAGACTGGTGCAACCACTGTGGAAATCAATATGGAGATACTATGAACAACTAGTATTAGAAGTCCCATTTCACCCAGCCGTCCCTCTGCTGGGTATCGTCCCAAAAGAATTAAAAGAATCATACCATAGTGATATATGTGCACCTATGTTTTTAGCAGCACACTTTGCAATAACCAAAATTTGGAAACACCCAACTGTCCCTCAACTGGAGACTCGATAAAGAAGATGTGGTTTGTTTTCTCTTATAAAATGGAGTACTACTCAGTCATAAAGAACCAGAAACTACAGACATTTATAGCTAAGTGTATACACATTGAGGCCATATTTTTAAGTGAAATAAATAGGACACACATGTAAATACCAAATAGTTTCTCTGGTGTGAAAACATAAAGAGTAAATAAGGATCAAAGTGTATAACTGATGTTAAGAAATAGGAAGAAAATGTCTTAAAGGAGTAGGGGAAGTGGGAGTGATGGGGAAAGGAAAGAAGGGAAAAAATATGAGAAAAGGAAACAATTGGAAATGAAGTCTTTGTAAACAGGCAAGAGAGGATGAAGGGAGGGCAGGGAAATGGGGAAAAATAAGAACCAAGATCCTAGTGATGAATGTAACTGTACTGTATACCTAATATGCACCAATAAACTTAATGGGGGGAGAAAAGTTCTACCTAACCTCTCTTCCAGCCAGTTTAGTATTTCTGTTTTAGTATTTAGATCTTTGCTCCATTTCGATTTTAGTTTAGTGCATGGTGAGAGATACAGGTCTAGTTTTAATCTTTGGCAAGTTGCCACAATCACAGCCATCTTCCCCACATAACACAATGCAGCCATCTCCCCCAAAACCCTAAAACAAATTAAGTGAATTGAGGGACCACTATGCACACACATGTATGTGTGCATATTATGTATATATGTGGATAAAACATTAGTCTGTCAACCAAGAAACCAAGAAATTTTTTTTCAGTACTGGGAAGCAAACTCAGAACCTTGTGCTTGCCAGGCAGGCATGGTACCACTGAGCTATATCTTTAGCTCTTAACCAAGAAAAATTCTGTACTAATTTATACTCTCTAGCACTATTTTCAAATCAAGATAATTATGAAGTAGGTAGTCTTTACTTCTGTGTGTGTGTGTGTGTGTGTGTGTGTGTGGTACCAGGGATTCATTGAACTTTGGACCATGAACTTGGAAGGCAGGCAGCAGAACCACTGAGCCAAATCCCCAGCCCTAGTCTTAACATATTTTAAAACACAAGTATATCAAGTAATCCCACTTTATGATCAATAAAACTAAACAAATTGATATAAAAACAATATTTCACAAGCTAAAAACATAGTACATAATAAAATAAAAATTCAAATCCAGTTTCTTAATTACGATTACTTATTATAACGTGACTGTGAAGAGGAACAATGAATGGAAGTACCCTCCTTGTGTGATGATTTAGGTATCAAATGACCCCACAGCCTCAAGCGTGTGGAAAGTGGGGATCACGAGGGCGCCACCGCTGACCTGCTAAGAGGAGCAGGGTCTGGGCGAAGAACAGGGTCACCGGGATGGTGACTGGGAGAGGGCTCTCTCCCAGCCCAGTAACTACCTTCTTCCTCTGCCTCCTGACAACCAAGACATAGGAAGCTGTGATGTTTGCCCTTCCACGTGCTGCTTCAGCCTTGGAGCCAATGATCATGGATGTGAATAAAATAAACCTCCCCCACCCCACTTTAAGTTACAGGTGTTTGGTGTACAGCAACAAGGAAAACAATTAAGACACCTTGTTAAAAACTGAAACAAGATAACTCCTCGACTGTAGATTCCCTGTGTATCCTGCAAATCTATTCCCTGTTCAGTTCACACAATTCTATATTTACCCAACAAAGATAATTTTGTCATTAGGGAGTGTTAATAATAAACAGAAATGACATCATACTGAGTAAATAATGACATTTCTATAATGTTGATTTACAGACTGTACATAGTTACCTGACCGACGAAATATCCACATCCTTTTGGAGAAGTTCACTCTGTTTATTATTCAATTGTAAAGATAGAGCATCATATTTACTCTGTGATACTTCGATTTCTTTTCTTGCTTCGATTAAATTCTCTTCAAAGGCCTAAAATCAGAGCATCTATATTACAACTAAACACAACACTCAAGAAATATATAAAATTACTATTCTATAAAATGACAGAAGAAAATGAACAATGCTTTAATTTTTTCACTAAATTAAAAAATAGCACAGGGCCAGGGATTTAGCTCAACGGTTCAGTGGCCTGCCTTGCAAGCACAAGGACCCGAGTTCAATCCCTGGTACCAAAAAAAAAAAAAAAAAAAAGCACAAAGTAATATTTTTGTACCAGTCATAGGTTTTTTTCAGAAAAAAAAAAATGCATCACAGCTTCCTAGTATAAAAACTAAGAATTTGAAGTGACAAAATTTGAAAATTTACAAATAAATTTAGTTACTAAAATTATAACAGAGATACTGTTGTAAAATTTTAGTTCACTAAATGAAAGATGAATTAAGTTACACAAATAGTAGAAAAATGTGATAGTTAACATATTTCATTATTTCCTTTTTTAAATGTATACAAACAAATATACTCAAAAAAGAAAAAAACAGTACTGTAAACACATCAAAAATTTTTCCAAAGTTTGAGAGTCAAACCATGCTCTGCTCTCTTCATTGTGGTGAAATTTTACCTAAAGTTCTTTAAATAAGGCCTTTTCCTGCTGACCATTCTCAAAGTTCATTTCATGTTGAATCAATCTTAAATTTTGATATCATACTATTGTTTTTTAAAATGTATAAATTTTATTACTTCATTAAAAATTGTATCTGAACAGTGTTTGCCCCCCAAAAAAACCTTACATTAACTCCAAAAATGCTCATCATGCTGCAGTTTTCGAAATAGTAATTCCCATTTATTACCAAAAAAGGAATGACAGATACGTAATTAAGCTGATAAATGAAGAAAAGAATAAAGAAGGGAGAAAAAGCAGAAACAAAGGAAAAAAGAGAAGTTTTTTCAAAGTATTAAAATAACTGCCAATGGGTCTGACATAAAGTGATGAGAGTTAAGCAAAAACCTTTCCGACTCTGTGCTCTACTCACTCTCTTTGGGTACCAGGATCAAACTGAGGTCCCTGTGAGGCAGAGGGCAGTACCACTGAGCTAAATCCCCAGCCCTCTACTCACTCTCTTTAAAGCTGGCCAGATGCTAAACTACTACTACTTAGAGGTAACTAAGACTATGAAAAGGCTCAGCAGGATAAAAATTCAGACTCAGAAAATAAAACTGGGAATTGTGAAAGGAAGAAGGGAAGGAAAGAAGGGAGGGAGGGAGGGAGGAAGGGAGGGAAAGGTTTTTGTGACTTGGCCTGGAGACACAAAAGAAATTTTTTTTACACCACCATAGGCAGGATCTGTAAAAGATGCCTATCTCAAGATTCAGTCTAATTTATGTCAAATATCAGAGATAAACAGGGAACCCCTGGCATGGAAAAAGATTTGTCTCAGACTGGAGTACCCTTAAGTGCCAGGAGTACCAAAAGTGCCTTAAAAAGGACAAGTAAACACTGGGGTGGAAATAAAGAACATTAAAACATTCCCACTCAAGATGAACCCTTACAAACTCTAACCTTCAAAAAGAGAGTCAAGAAAGTAAGGAAAGGTAAACACCATCATAACAAAACAGAAATATTACAACCACTGCAAATGAAAGATGAAATAAATATAACCAAAAAACAGAACACTCAGGCTGTGGAAGCAAAAAATTGTAACTAGTGTCAAAGCAGAAGGAGAGACAGAAGGCTACTGAATCCATCCAATCAAATAATTGAACCAAACCAGACAGATAATGAAAGAGGTGAAGATTAAGCTTCAAGATATATTCTGAAGACAGAAATGATCAAGCCCTATTGCTGAGTTGTCTCTGTGAAAGCAAGACAAAGCCAGGAATCAAAGATGGCCTAGGCGTACAGGTGAAGAGAGGTTCCATTTGCCACTCTGTGGCAGATTAGAGAAAGGACTGGTTTGAGAACAAAAATTCAAATGACTGTTTCAGACAAACACTTTTAAATTTTTGGAAAATACCAGTATAAGTCTTCCAAAAAGCTTAAATACCTAGAAAACACTTTAAGGAAAAACCTAAATTACTAGAATAGAAAAAAACAAGATGTAAAACTTCACTTCTACTTCTAAATATGTAAAGAAGGGAAGAAAATAAATGAGAAAAATGCATTTGAGTACAGACAGTCTTAAAGCCAGACCTCTGATAAAATTCCAGCTGGAGTTTCCATGGTTGGAAGGTTAACTAATCCCAAATGCAGAGCCAGGCAAACGGGGGGGCACTACACAACTCACACTCCCAAGGTTCTCGGCAAAAAACAACTTTACTCTGAATGAACAGTATTGAATTAAACAAAACTTTTTACCATTTTCCACTGTTATGGTCAGGTTTGAGTCATATGACTATCATTCCAATTTGAAATGAAAAATTCAAAATAAATAGGTAAAAAAATGTTTAAAATAATAATGAAATATTTAAAAAATGTCAATAAACTATCATCCATTCAAAACCTACTCACCAAAACAATGCACCCAATCCTGCAGGTTTAAAGGAAGGATCTAAAAAACATTTCAACTGAAGAATAACCTAGTCTTGTGGGAAATATTATAAAGAATGGAAAAATGAGGTTCCAAACTCATTTTATGAAATTTCTATGATCTTTTTCCCAAGTCAGAAATGATAGGTCAAAGGGGAAAACAAAGGAACATTTCAGGGTAACACAGGAAATAGCAAATTCCAGGGCCAGGGATTTAGCTCAGTGGCACAAGGTCCTGAGTTCAATCCCTGCTACCCAAGGGAAAAATTAAAAAATAGTAATAATCTACACTAAATAGTACTAAAGAAAGTTTATTGAAATTATTTGTTCCTCTTTGCATCAAACGCATTTATCCCATCGTTCTTGCCACTTTCTAAAGCTGCTCTGGAAATCTTTTTCTTACCTTCAGAGGATTGTCAAAAATAAGGTGAACACTGGTGTTCACTGTCATCCAACACAAAAATATTGTGGCATGTGCTTATTATCCACCTTATTCACCAGATCAGTCACCATGCCACTTCTGGCTCCTCTCCAAAGTCCAATGACCATGAGAGAGAGAAATTCTGAGTCAGCTTGGGACACAGAGACAGCCATGAGAGCACACATAAAAACATTCATGAGAAAGGACTTTCTAGAACTTCTTCAGAAATTGGTAAGAACAATGGGATAGATGTGTTCAAAGCAAGGAAAGTATTTTATAAGGGATTAACGGCAATGTATCTTTTACTATAATAATTTTCAAAATTTAAAGATACACTGTATCTTTTGGTTACAACTTACATTTACTTTGTTTTTTGTTGTTATTTGTTTGTTTGTTTGCTTTACCTCCTGACATTCAAGGAATATCTAAGTACAACATTTTCTAAATATGAGCTAAAACACATTTCAGTGATAATAGATAACAAGGAATAGTTTTTGCAAAAATAAATTGGAAAAGTAACTAAACAAATGCAATTTCAATTTCAAAATCATTTCAAGAAGTGGTAAATTTGATTACCAGTTTTACCACATTATACATCAAATGTGTTTGATAATAATTTCAATAACAAATCACAGGCATTCAACAAAACTGGAAAGCACGGTCCATAAAAACAAACAAAATAAATTGACAGAATATCTGTGGTAGATTCCAGTACAGTATTGGGTTTACTACACAATAAGTCTAAAACAACTATCAGAAAGACTGTCTGAGAGCCAAAGAACAACACAGTAAAAGACTCATAGAGCAGTGTGTGGTAGCATATGCCTGTAATCCCAACACCAGAAGGCTGCAGCAGAAAGATTACAAATTCAAGCCCAGACTGGGGAATTTAGTGAGATCTAGTCTCAAAATAAAAATTGGGGCTGGGGATTTAGCTCAATAGTACTGCTGCCTGCTTCACAAGTGCAAGGTCCTGAGTTCAATCCTTGATACCAAAAAATCAAAAATGAAATACATAAAATAATAATAATAATAATGAAGGCTAACAATGTAGCGCCTTCAAGATTCAATCCTCATTACCTCTCAAACCCCACCCCCTAAAACATAAAAGGAAATCAGTATGCATAAAACAAAAGAATATACAGAGAAACTATTAAAAGAAGTCAAACAGAAATTCTGGAGCTAAAATATACATGATATGAAAAATTCACTAATGGGATCAATGGCAGATTTGAGCAGACAAAAGAAAGGATTAGCAGACTATTAATTACTTGTAATTATTGAATCTCAGGAACAGAAAGTGACAAAAACAAAAAAGTGAACTAAGCCTAGGGACAGATGGAGTACCATGAAGCAAAAGACAGAGATAATATGATTAACTGATGGCCAAAAAATTCACAAATTGGATGACACACATAAATCTACAAATCTAAAAACCTTGATGGACTCTAAATAAGTTCAACAGAAACAGACCCACACTAAAACATATCACAATAAAATTCACAAAAAATCAATCAAAAATAAGAGAATAATAAAGCAGCAAGTGAGAAGGGACTCATCAAACAAGGAATTCTCACTGAGATTCAAAGGTAATTTTTTATCAGAAACCATGGAGTAATGAGATGATAGATGTAATGTACTGGGGAAAAAAAAAAACAATCAATACTGAATTCTATACCTAGCAAAAATGTCCTTCAAAAATTGGGGAAAATTAAGACATTTGCAGATAAACAAAAGTCAAGGGAGATCATTACCACTAGATTTGTGCTACAATAAATGCTAAAAAGATCTTTCAGATAGAAATGGGAGGAAAGGAGCTAAAGGTGTAGGGAAGGTGTGATACGTAGGGGAAGAACAAAAAGGGAAAAGAAAAAAATGTGAGAGAATGAAAAGATGAAAATAAAGTGTTTGTAGATGGGGAGGGGAGGAGGGGGTGAAGGGAGGGCAGAGGTAAGGGGAAAAAAATGAGAATCAAGACTTGCCATGTAAAGGTACATGATCCCAACAATGAATGTAACTGCACTGTATCCCTAAATGTACCAATAAACTTAATAAAAAAAAATAAACATCTTACTAAAATACAAA